GAATAACACAATAAAATTAACCAAAATAAAAGAAATAACTTTAAGGACTGCTCTAGCTCTAAGATATTATAAATATATTATTTTTTTTTTAAGCAAATTTTCCAAATCAAATAATTACTATTTCTCAGATAAATATGTTAAATACACAGCAATTTTGTTTTAATATGTACTTATTCAGCAAAATCCTTTCAGTCTTGAAGTCATGGTATTTAATCATCAGGTTCTTGTGTCAATAATAAATTTGCAGCCATATTTTCATTCTTCTCGCATGCAAAATATGCCTGCACAACTTGGTGTTCAGGAAAACCTAATGCTTTCAACTGAAAATGTATGGAAAAACAATTAACTTCTGATAGATAATAAATAATAAATAAATAATCCTCACTCTATCTATGGCTTCTTTGTCTTGTGTAGATACAGGCACCTCGAACCCTCCAACTGGTCCTCTATCAGTAGCTGCTGGTGCAGCAGCAGCACCTTCAGTTGGTTCATTTAACATACGTACAAATGCTTCTTGATTATTAGATATCATTTGCAACAGTGCTGGGTTGGTTTGTCCAATTTGTTGCAGTACAGAGTTTAATAATTCGGGATTTTGCTGCACAACTGAACGCATTTGTTGAAAAGTCGGTTGGTTGCGCAAAAAAGCTAGAGGATCAGTTGCAGGAACTTGGCTACTACCAGTTGAACTACCTGTGTCTAAAAACAATAAAGAGTAAAACAGTTATAAACTGTACAATAAAAAGGTTATAGAAATAAATAACAATAATATAAATTGAAGACATAATACGGATAATGTGATTTATCATAATTCTCTCCTCAACCCATTTGCCAAAAGACAAGTAATATTTGAAATACAAATTAGAATAACTGTACCACAAAGAACACATTCATAACAAAATTATATAAGTTTTATTTATAACTTATAAGATACTAAACTGTATGGTCTTAAATATGATACACCTCAACAGTTCAGAATATTCTACTAAATACAGGGTGATTCTTTTATCAAACAACACTTATATGGTGTTTGTGTGTAAATACCACCTAACAAACACCTATAACACACAACTTTGGGAGGCTATATCTTATAAACGGATTAACGAAAAATGAAAATTTAAACGTGAAAATTCATTGAAATATAGCCTTTTTAGTTTATGAAATTTTATGTATAGGTTGTTATTTAAAAATCAAAAGTTGATAATGGTTTACCTGATAAATATAAGGGTGAAAATAGTTTAAAAATATATATAGTTTTAAAACAAGATGGATCTTTAATTTTGAAAAAAAAAAATTTGAAAAAACTCAATAGTTTTTGAAATAATGAGTGTTAATGAAAAGAAATCCAAATAGATTGAAYAATGTATTTTCACTGAACACACAATTTTAAAATAAAGAAGAATAGTGTATTTTTTCATTAATTTTTAGATACAAAATACACATTTGTACTTTTTTTTTTCGTAAGTAATTTATTAGACATAGCTAGAAGTAAAACCAAGACCATTACTCAAGCATCACTATAAATAAAAACTGAACACGAAAGTCAATAGAGATTAAAATGATGGATTTGGTCTGACAGAATCAAAATTAATAAATACCCGAGTATAGAAGATCTTAATACCACCATTTTTGATTATTGATAGTAGCTTTGAGGGGTGATTTATAATTTAGTATTTACATAATTACATGAAAACCTTACTTTTACATTAATTTTAATACAACTATATTTTGAGGATTACCTTCACTAAGCATGCTACTCATAGATTGATTAATAGTTGGATCAGCTTGAAGTTCATCAGGTATTCCAGTAAGTAAATATTCAACTGCTCTGTCTGGATTATTAAAACTAGCTCTAAGAGCATTTTCAACCTTAAAATTTAAATAATAAAAAATGATTTCATAATGTTATAAYATGAATAGAAGAAGAAATTTTTCAACCTGTGATCTTTCATATCCCATATCCATAACATTTTGAACCATTCTTTCAAATTCATCACTAGATGCAGATTCTGGTACAGAAGCAGATGTTTCTGTCGCCGGTGATGTTGATTGCTCTTCAACTCTAGGTTGTTCAACCGTTATAGATCTGTATGAAAAATATTAATTATAAATTTATAAATGTATTCAGAATAAATGTGAGATAAATTGAAATATATTGGTAAATTTTACTTTTCTGCTGGTTTCTGAGGCGCTGAAACTGATGGTGTTGACTTAGTGGCACTTACACTTGTGGCACCAGTAGCACTAACAGTATTAGAGGCACTAGTAGCACTAACAGCACCAGCTGCTTTTGAAACCATAACCACCACAAATTTTTTTGAGTCAATGTTACAATCACTGATTTTAGTATCATCACTAAGTATTTTTCCTATTTATTTATTCAAAAATAATAATAATACATAATATATTTTAATTGTTATCTACGTAATGTTAAAATTAAGTAAAACCAACCGGCATAAATCAATTTTTGGTTTTCTGCCAAATATTCAGATCCTTTTTCAGCTTGCAGTTTTTCCTTTAACTGTCTTACCTACAAATTCAAATTTATTATGTATAATGTTTTTTTTACTATATTATATATATTAATATAAAAATATTGTCATATTCGTGTTCCTCCAGAAGCAAAACTGGACAAACCTATTTAACCATTTGAAAAAACACAACCTTATTATTAGGGCTTGGATGTTGTTGCACTAAAAATRTTATGAAATTGATTGCATTATTGCTGTGAAAAAACCCAAAATTGCACTTAAAAATTGCAATAAAAAAATATTTTATTGTACCAAAAAAATAAAAAAATATATATTAACAAATTATTTTATGAAATGGATTAAGTCATTTTATTAAGTAATATTATAAAGTTTTATTAGATAGGTTTTAAACGAGTAGATAAT